CTGAATGTGTCATCACAGTCTTGTGAAAACGGTCCATTATATTTTACAGTAATTGAACATTTTGTCATTCGAAATCTGTTTTCATTAAAGTAAATTGCGTTAGGTAGCCAAAAAACTAATTGGTCCAGAGTCTTTCAGCAAATATGTTCTGATTATAGGCTATATACACAAATTTTTTGCAAAAGATTTGCCCTTGTGCTTGCCCGTGCAAAACTTTACAGCACAATACTTTAGTGATGTGAGTGGTTGCATGTAGGAATGCAACGATTATAGATTTTGTTGGTACGGTTATTTTCTGAGGAATAATCACGGTTTCACCATTATGACGATTATTATGCATTTATTCATTTCACAAAATGATTAACGTATAAAATCACATGGACACTCTTTAGATAATAAAGTGATATTTATTGCTGCCTTTAGAAACAGAAATAACGCAGTAACCAATAATACAGCACGAAATAATAATAATAATAAAGACAAACAAATGTCTATCTCTCCAATTGGAATTAAAAAGGTGACCTCTGCTCTGTAAACATCCATGTCAGTATTTCCCTTTTGAAAATAACTAATGAAAATTGATCACAAAAGTAGGCTATTTAGTGTTTTCAGTTTGTACATTCTTTACATTTCTTTTGGACCTGAGGCAGAAAACTGGAAACATGGTGAAAAAAAAATCTTGTTGGTTTTTGACTTATGCATAATACTATAAAAGGGATAATATATAATGATGTTAATAAGTATTATTAATATAGGACTATTGACTTGTTTTATCCCACAGGGGAAACGATTCATAATGAGGGGAATAAACTGAACTATCATTGTAATCAACTGTCATCCATACCTATTCATTTTAATAATTTTTATAATAATTCATATGATTTTACATGTGGCCTTAAAAAATCATGTCTATTATTTTGGTTTGTGAGATCGGAGATCGCTCTGCGCACACATACAAACATTCAGGAGGACACAAACTTGTTGTGAACCCTGCCCTGTGACTTTTATTAATAAAATAGCTTAGATACTGAATTGCTACATATTCATCAGCAAGGAGAGGGTAAAATCACTGTTTAAGTAACTAACGTCACATGTTTGTAGAGAGACGCGCTGACGCAGGTTCACACACACACTTCTCTCTCTCTCTCTCGATCGAATAATTAACTAAAGTAGCTAAATGTTATAATTAAATAACTCAAATAAATGTGATCTTACCACACTAGTTCATCTGTCTGATCTGAAGTGGGCAGAATACTGAGCTAATGAGCCGTAGCTTCGTGTCAGTCTTGCCTTCTCATCGTGCATTAAAAATAGTTTAAAGCCATGTATTCGCTCTTTAGCAGCAGTTTTTTACGGCAATATTTAATTGACATTCTGACATTCATTCTTTGTGTACCCGAAATGGTCCCACACTATCGTCTTCAGGCATTTCTCTGGTGGAAATAAAGGATCACTTTTTGGTTCCTCTGTCATAGTTCATCTAGTGTGTGTAGTAGCCTCCGTGTTCGTTTTTTTCTTCGTTTTGCGCAAGTTGCAACAGTTCCGTCCGTGCAACAGAAGCACTCGGTGTAGCGGAGCCTTTACGATTAATTAACCGTGACATTTTAAAGCGCGGTTAATTGTGAAACCGGTTAATCGCTGTATCCCTAGTTGCATGGGGATTTCTGTGCGGTAACTAAGGTGTTCAGAGTCTTTGCCTTGCTAAGCAGATACTAGGGAATTCTGGGTGGTTGCTTACTGGACTAAGTCAAAAGGGTCCATCCTCAACTCTTTATAGATATGGCATCAATGTAAATCTATGCAGTTTGTTTGCCTGTTTTGTCTGCCAGGAAGAAAAGTAATTGCTCACCTCTCCTTAACAAGCTGTGCAATATGAGTTATCATTCATGTTCAAAACAAACATCATTTTTTGCTTAATTTAGCTTATTTCTTTGTGGAAGGATTTGTTTAAATCACTTAATCACACACTCCAAGAATAAGCAATAGTGATATTGATACTTGCTAGCTAAATGTAGACTGCTATAGACATCAATTAGTTATTCTCTTCATAGAAGGGCTAGTGCCTGAAGCACACCCTGAGATAGAACAGCATGAATCAACAGCTCTGCCCTCTTGACTAGATGGTCTAGTGAGAGGCATGTGCAGGACTGCTGCTGGCCAAATGGGTGCCCTAAGCAGAATTGTACTGTTGTGCCCCCTGTTACAAACCCCTGTTAAGTTTAGCCAGAAAGGGGGATGCAGCATAAAGAGGACACGTGAATCCAAATGCCAGGCGAAAAGATTTATTTAAATAACAAAACGGAACATAACACAAATGGAAAACACGTATCCAAACGAAGAAAACGGAAAACACAAATGAACATAGAATAACTAGCAAAGGATAATATACTTCCCCAAACCACGGAGCAACTCCAAAGTATAAAGTCAACAAAAGAAAAACAAACCCAAACTTTAAGAATTAAGAAAAGGGGTAATAAAGCTTGTTTGTTTCCCCGAAATATTATGGAAGTAAAAAAAAAAAAAACACCTACTATAAGGGTCAAAATAGAACTTTAATAAAATATAAAAGTAAATAAATAAATTGTAATTAAATTGTATCATTTACAAATTACAATTGTAGCTAGACAGTCGCCTATGGTTATGATTTTACTAATACAGTTGTCTGATTGATTTTATAGTCTCAAGCATTCAGAAATCACACAAAAGAAAATTGTGTGTCCATATGTCCATATGTTTTTGTTGAAGAAATTATAGAGGCTAGCATTTCTATCGCAAAAAGGTGGCCAAAAATGAAAGATTAAGTGATTATTTGAATTAAATGTTTGGTCAATATTAATAAACAAGGATTTGATTGTCCTGTAAGTGTTACAACAGCAATTACCAGGCCTTTGAAGTCCTTTGTAGGCTTTTGTAATAATATGTAATCTACATAATTTTTTTTCAATTTTGTATTACATAATGTATTTTAACAGTGTTATTCAATGAAACCATATGATTATTATTAATTAACCAATCATTATTGTTTTTATATAATACATTTTAAGTAATTTTAAAGGCTGTTGTTGGCTTAGGTCTGTTTTTATAACCACAAAAAATATTTCCTGAATACTTCTTTGTAAATGATTATTTGAAGTAACAAAACCATGGTTAATTTGTGGTTACCATTGCTACAAGAACCTTTTTTTTTATTTTTTTATTCGTAGTAAAATTATTGTTAATTTTCGTAAGGGAACATGGAAACTCAGAGAGAATATTAGATTTGTTGGTGGTGGTGATAGCCTTACCGACATTAAAACATGTTATTAACGTCAACAGCCAAAAAAGTTTCACAGGATTATGAACATACCTAAAAGTGATGCACGGGCTTCGTCTTGGGTTTTATTTTTATTTTTATTTTCTCGGCGCCAGACTGCTGATGTCTTTTCCCGGGCATAGTTATCTATCAATGATCATTTGCAGTCAGCCGCAAACATGAGATGAGGGCGTGGGCGCGGATGCGGGAATGGCGCATTACGTGTGCTAATGCGTTCACCGTAAAACACATTTATATATATATATATATATGTATATTAGGGCTGCACGATAAATCGCATGCGATATTTAACACGCATTTTGGCTTTACTGACAAGATGC